GTTATATAACTATAGACTTAGTCGGCTGCCGGACAGTTCCGCCTAACCTAGATCAAGCTACCACGAGAAGATTTAAGATTTAAAACCAATTGTGAGCTTAAGATCATAGCAGTTATAGACTTAGAACCAAATTATATTGGTAGATTATTATCTCTGTAATAATAGACTTTACGATATCATGGAATAAAGTAAATCATGAAATATCTCTTTTACGACACAGGACTCCGTGTCTAAAGAAGGATTGATTAACGGCTGGAAAAAATGTAACTGGATATCTGCCACAGTGCTGCTATTATTAAGGTTGAAGTAACTTTTAGCACATAAAGAAGTCTGGTTTGCTAGGTTTTAATTGATCGTATAATAACAAATAAAAATAAGTTAAGACTACAAAAACGGTCAATAGAACCTAATTATAATACCTGTATCGAGAACTCGACTTCAATGTACTATCATTCTGCCAAATTATGTCATATCTTGAGACTTGATAGCTTCCTGAAACAGTTTTGAGTCAACATTTTCGTGATATTCTAGAAATTGAAACCAATTCTCATCTTTAAAAAAGTAAAATTCTATGGAATTTATTGAAATCTACTTTTTAAATTCTAAGAATTTGTTGATTTATTAAAATTCTGTCTCAATTAAGGGTACACGCAATGTAGTTCGACACGCCCTGTAGACTCACTTATTGGGTTCATGCTAGGCACCCTTTTAACCCCCTCTATGGTGAAGATGAGGATGGTAAGCTGTACAAGTAATGTGAGGAGAGGATGGGTACCATTTAGTACATTTTAGCTGTAGGTGTAAAGTAGCTCTTAGTCAAGGAGTATATAAATGACGGCACGACAAGGTTCTGCAACAGATCTCTGAACATGTTATCTTGTGAGCGCCGAGTGAACACTTATAAAAACACTTATAAAAACAAGGCCAGCGATGGAAGACAGTTCATTGACTAAGTCCCTGCTAGGCTGGGAGGAAAAAAGCAGGTACAGACGACCGAAAGGAGTCGTGGTTTGGGATCCTGAGTGGGTCTCGAGATTGGATAGTGTTGTCATATATCGGGCCTTATAATATTCTGAAGGTCACCAAGACGGCACTGTCTTATGGCGAGAGGTAACGGTACCATCTAAAGAACAGATTGCTGAATCATACGAGTAAAAACTCTACCTGTACAGCAGTCTTACAGCAGACTGAGATTAAAGCGCAAGAATGGTGCTGTTATAATTTTGCGTTTAAAGTTCTAGCACCTGGAGTGGTTGTTAACATTTTGGAGAGAGCTGAGTAGGCTAGTACGGGATAGTAGGGAAGAAGTAGCTCACTGTTCCAGATGGATCTACTTCTCATCAAGGAAGAGGGAGTGGTAGGTTTTTGTGAAAAATCATGATACGAACTTTGATGAACCCATAATAATATAGTGCAAGGATAGTATTCTCATAAGTTCTACCCTTACTACAGTGTACAATGTACATACTTAGTGATATTAAGCTGCAATCTAAAATTCATTAATTGAATCTCATAATCACTTCAAATCTTACCTAACAATTGCAGTCTAGCCTGATTGCGACATCGTTAGAAGTGAGAGATAAAAGACATTCAATTGTAATCCAATTCTGCGAGAGAAGATTTGCCCAGACAGCTGACAAGAATGTATTACCATACTTCCTGTAAATGTGGTACAGTTATTAAGTCCTATCAACCTTGGATATTATTTCAGTATGTTGTTTTACGTGGGCAACATTGTAGATTACAATGTTGTTGTAGAAGTACAAATCGCAACAAAATGTAAACGAGCACACAAATTCAGGTTAATCCATGCTAGTATAGTTAGTTAATCTAAAAATAACCATAAGACAAATTAGCCAATCTCCAAGCCACATTCTTGGTTGTAGCGAGATGCACCACTGGGCCTGACATCGTGAATCAACATTCTTGGTAATTACACGAAAGAAACGTTTATAAAAGTTCACTAAAAGAGAACTAAGTGACTTATACCGGCGCCTCTTCACTGTAAACAACACTGGAAACTTTTCCCGTGCCATCTCTGCTGCCAGGTCATCCCAAGACTCTCCTAACCCACTGAAGGAAGACCAACTTCATGTCTCAGAGTACGGTCTAAAAAAACTTTGTGTCAACATAAAACTTGGCCTTTATCGTGCCTTTGGTATGAGATCCCATAGAATGCAGCCCTCTACAGAGCGCTAGAATAACCCTAAAATTCAAAAACAAACAAGCCTCACGAGATCAAGTCGCTGTAATGTCCTGGAACATTCAGGACAGTACAGGAGACGGATCTAACAAATTTGAAAATAACGAATTTCTGACAATCCTCAAACAAGCAAACATTCTGTGTCTCCAAGAAACTAAGAAGCAGGTTAAAATCGAAGGATACCTTTCCTTTAATAGCAACCGCAAAAATTCTCGCTCAGGAGGGGTCTGCATTCTTGCTGAAAATGATTTAAGAAAATGTGTTTCCTGTGTGCCTTGTAGTGAATCTGACGATATTATTGTTGTTAAACTTGACAAAAACTTTTTTAAGCTTGATTTTGATCTATTTTTAGTATGTTATTATATTAGCCCTGCATATTCGTCCTATGTCAAGAAATATCCAAACTATACTGCTAAGACCTTCTCTGCTCTTGACACCCTCTGTATTAGACTACGTCAAAAAGAGGCATATCTACGAATTATCAAAATACCTGATGTTCGAAAAAGTCTGACAAGGTTTCGTATCAGCTGCCACAACCCCTACATCGAAAGGGGCAGATACGAAACCCCCCTTGTACCAAGAGAAGAACGTTGGTGCACCTACTGCTTTTTCAGCAAAGGGCTCAAGCCTATTGAGGACGAAAGTCACGTATTGATTGACTGTTTGCTCTACTCCTCGGTTAGGGAAAAATTCAATATCCATCCCCAAAACATTGCTGACCTAGTCGGTTTGCTCTCCAACAAAACTTTAGATCCTACCACACTCACTGCCACAGCAAATGCAATCCATTCAATTCTCTCTGTGAACGAACATTATACAGCCTATTATAAGAGCCCAGACTTCCACTCAAATACTGGCAAGTGCATAATGCTATAGGACCTTAAAATAAAATTGAACCATACAAACTCGATTTATCTATTTTTCTAAAACTAGCATTATATAACATTTCTAAATTATCCCTACACACTTGTAAATAATTAGATTTGTGTAACTTAAATTATTTCATAATTACAACTATTGTGTACTCAGGAAAGTAATTATCACTTTTGTATCCTTTGTATCTTTGTATCCTTGTATCCATGTCTTTATAAAATCACTCACTCACAAAATTGCCGACCCAATATCTATTGAAGTGGCGAAGATAAGCCAGACCGAGTATTACCATCCCATCCTTCTAGAGTTCATCACAAGTAGCACCCACCTTGAAGATTTTTGACACCCAGACACACCCCATTGGCACACCCCAGCTCAACAAACTTTGGATATAATCTTACATGCTCCCGAAGGAATCCCTGTTTATCATCAGCACTTTCACTAGGTCACCAGCTTTTTCACTGAAATCATCAGCCTTTTCGCTGAAGTCATCAGCCCTTTCACTAAAGATTTTAGCTCGTGTTCTAAACTACAAAACTTAACAAATTTTTCAAGTTCTAATACAGCGATCACGACTGTTCAGTCAAAGCATTAGCAACTACTCAACTAGGAAGGTTCTTTAAAATTCTTTAAAGGGTCATAATTACTCAAATCTCTTGCTAGCAGTCAAGTTGTTGTTCCTAGTTCTACAATTAAACGAATACAAAATTACAGCCTTTCAGGTTTACATTTTTTGATATCCAGCTCAACATACGGCTTTGATACCAATAATGGGTATATACCGATGATCGGTGTTAATAAATATTTGATTATATTACCATGAAACTTAGTATTGAAGTTTAAACTCTTTCTTGTGTAAGAATAACATAAAGAAAAACGTACTAGTGTACTGGTACCAGTTACGGAAAGCAACTATTTAATTAAATTGAAGATAAATAAACAGAATTCAGATGCACGATTCACAATACAAATACCAACGTAATCGACGGACAAATTGAGGAAATGAAGATTTCGTTCTGAAACGAGCTATATATAAGGCTAGAACGTAGCGCTCGACTCTAAATTGAAGTAAAATTAATACGCGATCTAACGAGTTGAACTGCCACTTTTTTGGCAGTTCGAATGTTGGAATTACCACTACTGTGGTTGCGAGAAGCATATTTGATGCACGCGCGACCCAGTAGTGCATCGCGCTACAATGTCTTACACAACCTCTCCGAGCCCAAGATCCGTAGTGCGTGGTGAAGAGCCACACCCTTCTCGAGGTGCCACTGTTAAGCTTAGTAGCCTGTTCTGGGTGATTCCAGTTAAAACAGGTGAACGGTAACAGAACACTGCGGCTCTAGACCAGTTCAGGTCGAAAAATATAACCGGGACATCTGTCTCGTTAGGACTGCATGCGGTTCATCGGGTGCGAAGGGCCAGCATCCCTTCCACCTCAAATAACAACGCTACAGAAACAACAAGGAAAAACCGTGATAGGAGTGATTCTCGTAATGCAAGGAACGGTGATTCCAGTATGAAGCGGTCTGGGCAAAGCCGCAAGGACCCCAGGACGCAGATGAGAACGAAGAGGTCACCTTATTGCCACAGTGTTATTAGTTCACACATCACCAACGTGAACGCCGAAAAAGGGAGATCATCCCCTTCCAATTTTATAAAAAACAGACTTAACTTGGGGACGTGGAATGTTCTGTCTCTGGAAAGCAGCACATCGAAGCTTTATGAATTGTCACAGAATGTTTCTAAGTACAAGTTGGATGTTCTGGGTCTTACGGAAACACATAGACCAGGTACTGGTGAGGAAATGCTGGATAATGGGTCATTGTTCATTTATTCAGGGAGATCGGATGGGCATAGGAGGCAGGGTGTTGGGTTGGTTTTGTCAAAAACCGTCAAGAATTCGCGTATCTCTTACACCCCTATGTCGGAGCGTATCCTAGCAGCTAGACTACATAGTCGGCACATCAATATTTCTGTTGTGGTGGCCTATGCTCCTACGGAGGATGCGCAGGATAGCGTTAAGGACGATTTTTATCAGCAGTTGGGTGGATCATTCAACAGCCTACCCAGTCACGACGTGAAGATTCTTCTTGGTGACTTCAACACCAAGATTGGGCGCGACAACTCATCTTGGTCTGGGGTAATTGGAGGAGAGTCCTTACATGAGACGTCAAGTAATAACGGACTTCGGCTGTTGGATTTCTGTGCCATGTATCAGTTGACAGTTGGGGGAACATTGTTTCAACACAAGGACATCCATAAAGGCACCTGGAGGTCTCCCAATGGCCGTACTGTCAATCAGATAGATCATGTTTGTATCTCTACCAAGTGGAGTCACTCTCTTCTTGATGTTCGAACTTATAGAGGTGCAGACATAGGCTCTGATCACTACTTGGTCAAGAGTCCTATGAGGATCAAACTGATGGGAATCAAAAAGATACAAGGGTCACATAGAAAAGCACCAGCTATCGAGCTTCTGCGTGACCAATCTAAGGTGCAGGAGTATTGCATCGCACTGCATAACCGATTCAGTGGTCTGCCGGTGGAAGAGAGTCTGGATGGAGAGTGGGAGTTGGTCAAGGAGGGCATCAGGGAGGTTTCTTTGGAGGTTTTGGGTCAACGCCCGCGCCGGAGGAAGAAACAGCACTGGTCACAAGAGACAAAGGATCTCATCACGGAGCGGAGTAAGGTCAAGCAGAAATGCCCTAGTGATGGATTCAATAGATCTGAGTATTCTCTTGCTAATAAGCGTGTTAAGAAGAGCTGCAAGAAGGACGATGAGAACTGGGCTTTACGGGTTGCAGCCGATCTGGAAACAGCTTCTTCACACGGTCAGCAGAGGGAGGTCTAGCAGATAATCAAGTCCTTGTCAGGCAAGAAAAGTCGGAAGTCAACTGCTGTCAGAGATAAAACCGAGAAGTTGATTTCTGACCCCGCTGCTCAGCGAAAACGATGGGGTGAGCACTTCGCTGAACTACTAAACCGCAGATAGGAGACGTGGACCTTTCAGACCTAGACAGTCTAGAGGTCGTACCATGTTTTCCGTATCTGAGTGATAGTGATATACCCCCTAGCAGAACAGAGATCTCTGAGGCTTTAAAGAGTCTGAAGAATCACAAGAGCCCTGGAATTGATGAAATTTCCAACGAACAGCTGAAGTATGGGGCTCCTGGTCTTTTAGACAGGCTTGAGAAACTGTTTGCACGTGTATGGGAGACAGAGAATGTGCCAGAGGATTGGGTTAAGGGTATCATTGTTATTGTCCCGAAAAAGGGTGATACATCATACTGCTAGAACAACAGGGGCATTACCCTACGCTCCACGGCATCAAAACTCTATCAGATAATAGTGTTGCGACGGATGAATGCGGGGCTTGAAGAACTGCTCCGAGAGAATCAGTGTGGGTTCAGGAAAAACAGGTCTTGCATAGATCAGATTTATTCGCTCCGTACTATTATATATTATTCACAACAGCATTGAGTTTAATCTCCCCCTTTACATAAATTTTGTTGACTTTAAAGCTGCATTCGATTCACTTAATCGGGAGTTTATCTGGAAAGCTTTCAGTCATTATGGCTTGCCTTGTAAATACATTCGCATAATGCAAGCATTCTTTTGCGGCACCTTCAGCGCTGTCAGACATAATGGCGAGCTCTCTGAGTGGTTTGACGTTACATCTGGTTCTGGGCAGGGGGATATTCAGGGTCCACCTATCTTTAATGTTTGCATCAACCTGCCTGCGCAGCGGGCTGAGGATAACAAAGTGTTGTCACACGGGGCAGTGCTGCAGAGAGCTACCACCAGCTCTGGTCAGGATACAGTCGTCCTGGATACTGACTATGCAGATGATTTGGCTATCATGGACAACACCAAGGACGGTCTCCAGGAGACGACTGATCTTTTATGCAAGTATGCGGCTCAGGCTGGCCTCAGAATCAATGCAAAGAAAACAGAGGTTATGGCCATCGGCAAGAATACATCACAGAGGCCGTATACTGAAGCATCAACGGTGGACATTACAGTAGGAGACACGGCTATCCAGCAAGTCAGCAACTTCACTTACCTTGGGTCGATTATATCAAGTGATGGGACTATTGACCGGGACTTGTCTGCACGGATCCAGAAAGCCTCAGGAGCATTCAATCAGCTCGGTAATATTTGGAAGAATCGCAATATCCAAACTAACACCAAAATACGGATATATGTTGCAGCGGTTGAAACAATATTACTTTATGGAAGCGAAGTCTGGAACACTACTTCAAAGCAACTACATCGCTTCGAAGTTTTTCATCAAAACTGTTTGAGGAGAATCCTTCGAATTAAGTGGTTCCACCGGACGAGCAATGTTCAAGTGTTGGAGCGGTTGACGGATGCTACTCGTCTAAATTTCTTCGAAGTAGCGCGCGCCGCTTTCTTCTCTTCGTAGCACGGCAAGTGCTACGAAGTAGCGCGCGCCGGGCCAGACCATTAACAATGGTCAATTGGAGCGGGCAAGAATAAACCCGGTTTTAACCTACATCAGTGCCAACCGTCTTCGCTGGTTTGGACATGTTTCTAGAATGCCGGACACCAGGCTACCAAAGTATTTATTTGATTGGACACCTGCTCACGGCCGAAGATCACGTGGGCGGCCAAAAAAGAATTGGCGAACCTGTGTCCTAGAAGACGCAGTAACATTCACATTGCTCTAACCAGAGCCCTCTCGCTTGCAGTAGCGCGCGACCGCCGGAGGCGGCAAAGATCCTACTTGTGAAACAAGCGCGTCACGCAGTACGCGTAGGCACATGGCTATGTGAAACATTCACAGGAGATCCAGACATTGTATTTGATAAGAGAAACAAATTTTAGAGAAACAAATTTGAATTTTGATCTTTATTACAGATTAAACATATCATATATAACCATAAAAGCCGCGCGTCGGCTGATTGCCTCAACTTGGATTGGTAGAAATTTCAGTTTACAGAAGCTGAAGGACGGCAGCTCAAAAGCCCCAGTGAACCATCGGAAAGATCAAGGACTCGAGTGCCAATAGTGGCTTTTTCAAACCCATTTTCGCCGATTTGCTGTGGCCCAGATGAGCCGCGCCCTGCTGCTTAACGGCACATGGTGGTTTTTGTTTAAATACTTATTTAAATTTAAGCGATAATTCATTTGGTGGTTTACAGTTTTTGAATCATGTTCATCATTTATTTTTCGTTCAATTATCACGTGTTTACAATTCAGTCATACCATGCATAGTCAACATTGTTGAGGCAACCAGCTTCCGCAGTTCAATAATTGGAGACCGAAAAATATAAATTGATCGAAATTTACAATTCATCGTTATCAAATATAGTCAATAATATTCTTGATTCCATTTAGTACATAATAAGTTGGTTTTATTCTCTTGCAACACTACTGCACAACAAAAACTGCGCCTGTCCACCAGCAACAGCGCAGTCATAGGTGTGCAGCCAAAGCTAGGTCACACACCCATGGTCCGAGAGTTGGCAGGAAACCGAAAGCACTGGAGAGAGATGATACAACATAAGCGGCAATTCCTTGGTGCAGGCCACTCGAATGATTGAGGAGACCTTATCAAGTATCAAGTAAGTAAGTTACTCGTCTAAATTTCTCCGAAGTAGTGCACCGCTTGACCATTGCTAATGGTATGGCCCGGCGCGCGCTACTTCGTAGGACTTGCCATCGGGCCAATATTATAATATTTCGAGGAGAAAGCGGCGCGCGCTACTTCGAAGAAATTTAGACGAGTAACATCCGTCAAGCGCACCGCTTTCTTCTCGAAATATTAGGCAAGTGCTACGAAGTAGTGCGCGGCGGATTTTGCTCTAACCAGAGCCCTCTCGCTTGCAGTAGCGCGAAACAAGCGCGTCACACAGTACGCGTAGACACATGACTATGTGAACGGCGCGCGGGTCATAAAACGTATGACAAGTTATATCTCCGCCAAAAGCACAGCCAATGAGCCAATTTGATATTTAAGAAATATGTTTACAACTTCCTTGGTCGTTGTATTGGTTATGCACTAAGTTGGCGTTGTGCGACCAAAATTGAATGGGGAATCGTTTAAGATCACTTTCGAGGCACTTCGACAAAAGCTTCTCACGCTATTGTGCTTTTTATGGAGAAATACGTCATTAGCGTTTTTGAACTTGTTATTCTCTTTCAAAAGTTGAAAGTATTCTAAGGGATTTGTATTCACCTAGCCATGAGTCTACGCGTACTGCGTGACGCGCTTGTTTCACGCGCTTGGCGTGCGCTACTGCAAGCGAGAGGGCTCTGGATAGATCAATGATTTGTATAAGTGCATATATTAACTCTGAATACATTGCAAAATAATTTATCTCGATTCACGAAGTATGAAAGAAGTTACAGCAATTTCGCGCAATTTGGGGAGCGTGCTTTTGCATTTTGGCGGAGATATAAACTACAAACTGCGCCTTTGATAAATTTGGTACCAAAAGTTGTTAACGGGTGATACTCGTAAAATATTTGTTTCAAAAACAGGACCATGATCAACGAGTCCAACTCTAATCGCGCGTCCTGGTTGTAGGTTTACAACCTACCAGTTGGACTCGATATCAGATATATGGAACAGATATTTTACGAGTATCACGCCGTTAAGCGTCATGGTAGGTTATAAACCTACAACAAATGACAAAAGTTGCCTATGAAGTCTAAGTGTGAATAATGCAAATTCATCGTATAGCACGATAAGGTCGAGCTGTATGTGGGCCTCCTGTGCATTGGGACAAAAATGGGTAATTTCTTGTTTTAAATGCCTATAGTTATACACAACACTAATAACTCCTCAAATATCGAATATTTTGAAATAATTTTTACGGGATCGTAATGAGCTTACACAGACGCAACTTGAAGGACCAAATTGTTCGAAATTAAACAAAAGGAGGATCCTTATTAATATTAATGATTAATGTTGTGTTCAGATTTGAGATTAAAAAATTTTGAAAAAACGTTTCTTCAAATCTTAAGATATTAGGTAAAAGTTAGTATTAAAAGTTTTGTCTCGCTGAATTGATTACGACGCCATAACAATTGTTTCAAAATAACTGAAACTGTGAAAGTTATAGGCCAAAAACTAAAAATTTGCGCGAAAAAGTACAAGCGCGAACAAGCGCCGCGCACCATTTTTAGCGAAAATTGGCATTGCTACACGGTGGAATTATTTTATTCACATTTTTAGACAATTTTTGGTATCAAATTTTTCCAAATCGGAGAGAAAAAATTCTGCCAACTAATGGCGCTTATTATTGTATAGACTCAATGACAGGCTGCGCGCCGCCCAGTTATGAGTTATTCTAGTGTTGGTATCCTCCACAGCGTACAATAAATAAATATAATATGAATAATAGGGGCTCGACATTGTACGTATCACTTCTAAACATTAAAACAACAAATTCGTTAAAAATAATCGAAATATAATATTTAAGAAGTGGATGTATCGGTAACCAAGTCGAGGATAAAACCAGACTCAGTCAGGGAGACATAGTTTGAAGTAAAAACCAATCATTTTGTAGCAAGCTGGCCTGTTTGGAGAAATAAAAGGACCACAAGTCTCAGTAACATGATATAGCAAATTAAAAACACGCCTACGTCAAATATATTCGGTTAAAACTCGAGTGGTTAGCTGCTTGGGGGTCGGGTGGCAGGGCACGGTTTTAGTGTATAGATATTTGAGGAGCTTTGTGACGGCCTGATTTGGATAAACCGGCATAAGACGCGCAGTTCCCTCATCTGCGTTTCTTCTTCTTTGAGGAAGATTTGCTGGAAGATTTGCCCGGAGGAGGAGGGGCTATCTTCCTCTTCTTCTTAGGACTGTCGTCCTCGCGCTCCTCTCTCAGTCTCCTCTGGTCGTCTCTCCTTGCTTCTTCCTCCAGGTCGGACCAGTCTTTCCCGGACTCTTCTGAAGAACCCGAACCAGACGAACTACCGGCTGAAGCAGCTGGGGAGTGAGGTGTTTATTTTGGGTAGATATTATCTGCGCTTATTTTTGTCTAATTTCATATAATACTACTAGAGTAATACTACTAGAGTAATACTCTTAGAGTAATACTACTAGAGTGTAGAGTAATACTACTAGAGTAATACTCTAAAAATACATTTTAATGTAAGTAAATAATGATGAGACTGTTAGTAAACTAATCTGACTAATCTAATTACCTGCTGCAGAAGAATCCTCAGAGTTGTATTCCTCGTCCGAGTCGCTCTCCTCGGACCCCTCCTCCTCGTCGGAATTCACCTCACCTGGTCCCCAACTCTCATCTCCTGCCGCGTCACTGTCCTCGCCTTCTCCCTCCTAGGCGGTACTTTTAATTTATTGCTGGCCTTAGTATAGTTTTAAGAAAAAATATTCTCTGTTTACAAGTGGTTTACCCTGGTTTCTTGATTTATTCCCACGTGTCAGATTGTACTGAATTGTACTACCCCCTCAAATCTATAAAAAGAGGATATTTATGAAACTGACCTCTTCACTGTCGGGATCGAGAAACTTCCAACCTCCATCCTCGAAGAAGTTGTCAGGGTTATCGTTGATAGTTTTCATGATTTTGGGCCAGTTCAGTGAGATAGCCCCCTCAGTGTACTTCAGATCACAGGAGCTGAAACAAGTTTAGTAAGGTCTGGTAAAATAATGATAAGTTCAGTGAGATGGCCCCCTCAGTGTACTTCAGATCACAGGAGCTGAAACAAGTTTAGTAAGGTCTGGTAAAATAATGATAAGTTCAGTGAGATGGCCCCCTCAGTGTACTTCAGATCACAGGAGCTGAAACAAGTTTAGTAAGGTCTGGTAAAATAATGATAAGTTCAGTGAGATGGCCCCCTCAGTGTACTTCAGATCACAGGAGCTGAAACAAGTTTAGTAAGGTCTGGTAAAATAATGATAAGTTCAGTGAGATGGCCCCCTCAGTGTACTTCAGATCACAGGAGCTGAAACAAGTTTAGTAAGGTCTGGTAAAATAATGATAAGTTCAGTGAGATGGCCCCCTCAGTGTACTTCAGATCACAGGAGCTGAAACAAGTTTAGTAAGGTCTGGTAAAATAATGATAAGTTCAGTGAGATGGCCCCCTCAGTGTACTTCAGATCACAGGAGCTGAAACAAGTTTAGTAAGGTCTGGTAAAATAATGATAAGTTCAGTGAGATAGCCCCCTCAGTGTACTTCAGATCACAGGAGCTGAAACAAGTTTAGTAAGGTCTGGTAAAATAATGATAAGTTCAGTGAGATGGCCCCCTCAGTGTACTTCAGATCACAGGAGCTGAAACAAGTTTAGTAAGGTCTGGTAAAATAATGATAAGTTCAGTGAGATGGCCCCCTCAGTGTACTTCAGATCACAGGAGCTGAAACAAGTTTAGTAAGGTCTGGTAAAATAATGATAAGTTCAGTGAGATGGCCCCCTCAGTGTACTTCAGATCACAGGAGCTGAAACAAGTTTAGTAAGGTCTGGTAAAATAATGATAAGTTCAGTGAGATGGCCCCCTCAGTGTACTTCAGATCACAGGAGCTGAAACAAGTTTAGTAAGGTCTGGTAAAATAATGATAAGTTCAGTGAGATGGCCCCCTCAGTGTACTTCAGATCACAGGAGCTGAAACAAGTTTAGTAAGGTCTGGTAAAATAATGATAAGTTCAGTGAGATGGCCCCCTCAGTGTACTTCAGATCACAGGAGCTGAAACAAGTTTAGTAAGGTCTGGTAAAATAATGATAAGTTCAGTGAGATGGCCCCCTCAGTGTACTTCAGATCACAGGAGCTGAAACAAGTTTAGTAAGGTCTGGTAAAATAATGATAAGTTCAGTGAGATGGCCCCCTCAGTGTACTTCAGATCACAGGAGCTGAAACAAGTTTAGTAAGGTCTGGTAAAATAATGATAAGTTCAGTGAGATGGCCCCCTCAGTGTACTTCAGATCACAGGAGCTGAAACAAGTTTAGTAAGGTCTGGTAAAATAATGATAAGTTCAGTGAGATGGCCCCCTCAGTGTACTTCAGATCACAGGAGCTGAAACAAGTTTAGTAAGGTCTGGTAAAATAATGATAAGTTCAGTGAGATGGCCCCCTCAGTGTACTTCAGATCACAGGAGCTGAAACAAGTTTAGTAAGGTCTGGTAAAATAATGATAAGTTCAGTGAGATGGCCCCCTCAGTGTACTTCAGATCACAGGAGCTGAAACAAGTTTAGTAAGGTCTGGTAAAATAATGATAAGTTCAGTGAGATGGCCCCCTCAGTGTACTTCAGATCACAGGAGCTGAAACAAGTTTAGTAAGGTCTGGTAAAATAATGATAAGTTCAGTGAGATGGCCCCCTCAGTGTACTTCAGATCACAGGAGCTGAAACAAGTTTAGTAAGGTCTGGTAAAATAATGATAAGTTCAGTGAGATGGCCCCCTCAGTGTACTTCAGATCACAGGAGCTGAAACAAGTTTAGTAAGGTCTGGTAAAATAATGATAAGTTCAGTGAGATGGCCCCCTCAGTGTACTTCAGATCACAGGAGCTGAAACAAGTTTAGTAAGGTCTGGTAAAATAATGATAAGTTCAGTGAGATGGCCCCCTCAGTGTACTTCAGATCACAGGAGCTGAAACAAGTTTAGTAAGGTCTGGTAAAATAATGATAAGTTCAGTGAGATGGCCCCCTCAGTGTACTTCAGATCACAGGAGCTGAAACAAGTTTAGTAAGGTCTGGTAAAATAATGATAAGTTCAGTGAGATGGCCCCCTCAGTGTACTTCAGATCACAGGAGCTGAAACAAGTTTAGTAAGGTCTGGTAAAATAATGATAAGTTCAGTGAGATGGCCCCCTCAGTGTACTTCAGATCACAGGAGCTGAAACAAGTTTAGTAAGGTCTGGTAAAATAATGATAAGTTCAGTGAGATGGCCCCCTCAGTGTACTTCAGATCACAGGAGCTGAAACAAGTTTAGTAAGGTCTGGTAAAATAATGATAAGTTCAGTGAGATGGCCCCCTCAGTGTACTTCAGATCACAGGAGCTGAAACAAGTTTAGTAAGGTCTGGTAAAATAATGATAAGTTCAGTGAGATGGCCCCCTCAGTGTACTTCAGATCACAGGAGCTGAAACAAGTTTAGTAAGGTCTGGTAAAATAATGATAAGTTCAGTGAGATGGCCCCCTCAGTGTACTTCAGATCACAGGAGCTGAAACAAGTTTAGTAAGGTCTGGTAAAATAATGATAAGTTCAGTGAGATGGCCCCCTCAGTGTACTTCAGATCACAGGAGCTGAAACAAGTTTAGTAAGGTCTGGTAAAATAATGATAAGTTCAGTGAGATGGCCCCCTCAGTGTACTTCAGATCACAGGAGCTGAAACAAGTTTAGTAAGGTCTGGTAAAATAATGATAAGTTCAGTGAGATGGCCCCCTCAGTGTACTTCAGATCACAGGAGCTGAAACAAGTTTAGTAAGGTCTGGTAAAATAATGATAAGTTCAGTGAGATGGCCCCCTCAGTGTACTTCAGATCACAGGAGCTGAAACAAGTTTAGTAAGGTCTGGTAAAATAATGATAAGTTCAGTGAGATGGCCCCCTCAGTGTACTTCAGATCACAGGAGCTGAAACAAGTTTAGTAAGGTCTGGTAAAATAATGATAAGTTCAGTGAGATGGCCCCCTCAGTGTACTTCAGATCACAGGAGCTGAAACAAGTTTAGTAAGGTCTGGTAAAATAATGATAAGTTCAGTGAGATGGCCCCCTCAGTGTACTTCAGATCACAGGAGCTGAAACAAGTTTAGTAAGGTCTGGTAAAATAATGATAAGTTCAGTGAGATGGCCCCCTCAGTGTACTTCAGATCACAGGAGCTGAAACAAGTTTAGTAAGGTCTGGTAAAATAATGATAAGTTCAGTGAGATGGCCCCCTCAGTGTACTTCAGATCACAGGAGCTGAAACAAGTTTAGTAAGGTCTGGTAAAATAATGATAAGTTCAGTGAGATGGCCCCCTCAGTGTACTTCAGATCACAGGAGCTGAAACAAGTTTAGTAAGGTCTGGTAAAATAATGATAAGTTCAGTGAGATGGCCCCCTCAGTGTACTTCAGATCACAGGAGCTGAAACAAGTTTAGTAAGGTCTGGTAAAATAACGATAAGTTCAGTGAGATGGCCCCCTCAGTGTACTTCAGATCACAGGAGCTGAAACAAGTTTAGTAAGGTCTGGTAAAATAATGATAAGTTCAGTGAGATGGCCCCCTCAGTGTACTTCAGATCACAGGAGCTGAAACAAGTTTAGTAAGGTCTGGTAAAATAATGATAAGTTCAGTGAGATGGCCCCCTCAGTGTACTTCAGATCACAGGAGCTGAAACAAGTTTAGTAAGGTCTGGTAAAATAATGATAAATTTAGTAATTGGTTATAATATCAGGCGAACTGATTACAGTGAGAATTTGGGTGGGTGAACGACCAGGACAAGTTGAAAGATTAAAAGATGGTTTTATCAACTGGACTGGGAGACTATGGGATCGGTAACATGACCACTAACAGTCTTACGCTAGCAATAATTCTATGCAATGGATATCTTTTAAAGTAATTAGATCCAGCACTGCGTTCAAAAATGAAAACTGAATTATATATTAAACTTGCTCTGCTCTAACATTTGGAAATATAAGAAAAATTGAAACGAATCTCGCCTCTTAACCGCCATTTGTTTCTTTTCAAGACAACATCCCTCAATGTAAACTTTCAAGAGGTTTAAAAACTGATCTATACAATTTAAATTATAAACCACAGCGCGTAACATACTTGAGCCACTCTTTGATGGCGTCCAAAGAGGACATGGGTATGCTGTTGATCATCTCAATCTTTCTGGAGTAATTTTTGAAGATGAATACCTGAAAGGAGTGCTACGTGTGAGGAATGTGTGAGGAATGTGGATGTTTGTTTATCTAGGTATAAGATGTGATCAAGCAGATTAGTTTTTTTTAAAAATTACTATTAGCTCACTATCTTTAAGTGTTATTCGACTGAACTAAATTAAAAGCTGTGAAAAAACATCGAAGTTCGGTTTCGGAATAAAAAACAGCACTGACCATGTCAAAGTTCTTCAGTTGGAATTGCACACGCTCAAAATGGATCAGTTCAACTTCCTCCAGAGCGATCACAAATGGTGGCCCTGAAGACAACCCATTATACTCACAATATATACTTTCTACATAACCTCTTGATCACAAATGTATGACGTCACATCACCAGACATGACGTCACATCACGAGACATGACGTCACATCACCAGACATGACGTCACATCACGAGACATGACGTCACATCACGAGACATGACGTCACTCTACCAAAGTAAGTAACATGTAACAAGACTTACACTCTATAACGTTGATAAGGCAGTGTGTAGTTGGTTGCAGCATGCAACTTGATCTGAAGGGCACTCCAAAGAACCCTAGTTCCCTGAAGGGCGTGTCGAACTCTACTTTTCCTTTGGACAGAGCTTCTACCTGATGTGCGGTTCATAAGCAAATCAGATTATATCAAACCTAATAATATCATCTTATCGATATTTTAATGATTTGAACAAGAAACATGAACATTTTTGTGTACGTTTATAAACAAAGGTATTGGTAGTTAAAGTTGAAACGTTACGGTCATATTCTTTTAAGCATACCTCTTCTTTAACCCTACAACCTTCTCCCGTATACATATCTTACTATATATAAAGTATATAGTACTAGAAACCCGCTAGTCGAAAGCTTTGTCCGAGGAAATTTTAAAAATCAGTTATGTTTTAATTTCTCTTCGTCATATACAATATAGCTCTGTTATTCTGTAGAAATCATGGATTTTTATTTGACAATGACGACAAAGTTGTAAGTATTCAGATTCCCTAAACGATACTTTCTACCGCATCGAAAAATATCAATCACAACCAAAGTTAAGAATATAGTCATAGCGTGAGCGTAAATGTGAGCTAGTTATGACGTATCATAAAGCATGGCAACGCGCGTTGCTAATCTGTTCTTGCTTGCGAACTAAAATTGGTGACACCAGTGACCAATGGTCACTGACCATAGGGTCATTTTTAGGTATATTTTCAGTGTGAATTGCCGGGGGGATTTCGTCAAGTTTAAAATATAGTATAGATAATATAATCTCAAAACCCCAGTGACTCTAACTTCCCATGTTTGTAAGGCCGACAAATCAACACTTAATTTACCTTTTCAATAAAGTTTTTAAAAGCTCCCTTCAGTTTCTGTCTCATTTCCCGTTCAGCATGCTCTGCTTCAATGTCATCCTGTGGTAAGATACAAGATAGCATATTAAATAGTTAACATCCTGTGGTAAGATACAAGATAGCTTATTAAATAGTTAACATCCTGTGGTAAGATACAAGATAGCTTATTAAATAGTTAACATCCTGTGGTAAGATACAAGATAGCATATTAAATAGTTAACATCCTGTGGTAAGATACAAGATAGCATATTAAATAGTTAACTTCTCTCTCTCTCTCTCTCTCTCTCTCTCTCTCTCTCTCTCTCTCTCTCTCTCTCTCTCTCTCTCTCTCTCTCTCTCTCTCTCTCTCTCTCTCTCTCTCTCTCTCTCTCTCTCTCTCTCTCTCTCTCTCTCTCTCTCTCTCTCTCTCTCTCTCTCTCTCTCTCTCTCTCTCTCTCTCTCTCTCTCTCTCTCTCTCTCTCTCTCTCTCTCTCTCTCTCTCTCTCTCTCTCTCTCTCTCTCTCTCTCTCTCTCTCTCTCTCTCTCTCTCTCTCTCTCTCTCTCTCTCTCTCTCTCTCTCTCTCTCTCTCTCTCTCTCTCTCTCTCTCTCATCCTGTGGTAAGATACAAGATAGCATATTAAATAGTTAACATCCTGTGGTAAGATACAAGATAGCTTATTAAATAGTTAACATCCTGTGGTAGGATACAAGATAGCATATTAAATAGTTAACATCCTGTGGTAAGATACAAGATAGCTTATTAAATAGTTAACTTATTTAAAAGTCATTTTATTGTTGTGTTATTGATGTGTTATTGATGTGTTATTGTTGTGTTATTGTTGTGTTATTGTTGTGTTATTGTTGTGTTATTGTTGTGTTATTGATGTGTTATTGTTGTGTTATTGTTGTGTTATTGATGTGTTATTGTTGTGTTATTGATGTGTTATTGTTGTGTTATTGTTGTGTTATTGATGTGTTATTGTTGTGTTATTGTTGTGTTATTGTTGTGTTATTGATGTGTTATTGTTGTGTTATTGATGTGTTATTGTTGTGTTATTGTTGTGTTATTGATGTGTTATTGTTGTGTTATTGTTGTGTTATTGTTGTGTTATTGTTGTGTTATTGATGTGTTATTGTTGTGTTATTGTTGTGTTATTGATGTGTTATTGTTGTGTTATTGATGTGTTATTGTTGTGTTATTGTTGTGTTATTCATGTGTTATTGTTGTGTTATTGTTATGTTATTGTTGTGTTATTGTTGTGTTATTGTTGTGTTATTGTTGTGTTATTGTTGTGTTATTGATGTGTTATTGTTGTGTTATTGATGTGTTATTGTTGTGTTATTGTTGTGTTATTGTTGTGTTATTGTTGTGTTATTGTTGTGTTATTGTTGTGTTGTGTTATGAGTATTGCTGAAAGCACAGTGTAAGGCCTACACGGACCGCCTCTAACTAGCCAATCCCTGTTTAACATAACATGTGTTATGTTATTTAGCTATATAACTGTAGGCACGAATACAGTAAGAAGAACTAGTAAGCTTGATTGAGCTTGTGATATTAAAGCAAAGTAAGTCACGTGAAGTTTTCCTTACCCTGTCATACATATGGCTGGATTTCCCAAGATCAGTCATTATTTCTCCTACTTCAGTGTAGAAACAAATGTGATAAGTCTTCTTTTTACCTGGAATAGTGGGAACGTTTTACTTTAAATACGATAAATTGCTTAAGTAATTTATGGAAGATGCGCTAGAATTATCTATTTTACATCCGAAAGAATATCTATTCTGTCACATTTCCAGAAGTTCGAAAAAATAAAAGTATGGAAAAAAATCACGAATTGTCTAATACTAAGTTTAAAATACTATCAATTAGTTATTTCATCACAGAATTAGCGAGAAACTGGATTTCCAACTCACCTATCATAATGGGATGTTTGAGGTAGAAATGCAGCATTATCAACATTTCCTTATCGCACGGCTGAAGAAACAGTGTTTAGTAAAGTGACGTCACGTGAAGTAGTTTCGTCACGTGAAGTAAAGTTACGTCACGTGAAGTCGTGACGTCACGTGTGACGTGAAGTAAAGTTACGTCACGTGAAGTAGTTACGTCACGTGAAGTAGTTACGTCACGTGATAGGATGAGCAGCAATAAAATTTAATTTCAACAATAAGCGCCATGTGAAATTGAACATGACGGTAGTTGACGGCCCACCACACGACATGACGTCACACCACACGACATGACGTCACACTACGCGACATGACGTCACACCACGTGTCATGACGTCACACCACACGACATGACGTCACACTACGCGAAATGACGTCACACCACACGACATGACGTCACACTACGCGAAATGACGTCACACCACACGACATGACGTCACACTACGCGACATGACGTCACACCACGTGTCATGACGTCACACCACACGACATGACGTCACACTACGCGACATGACGTCACACCACGTGTCATGACGTCACACCACGTGTCATGACGTCACACCACACGACATGACGTCACACTACGCGAAATGACGTCACACCACACGACATGACGTCACACTACGCGAAATGACGTCACACCACACGACATGACGTCACACTACGCGACATGACGTCACACCACGTGTCATGACGTCACACCACACGACATGACGTCACACTACGCGACATGACGTCACACCACGTGTCATGACGTCACACCACACGACATGACGTCACACTACGCGAAATGACGTCACACCACACGACATGACGTCACACTACGCGAAATGACGTCACACCACGTGTCATGACGTCACACCACGTGTCATGACGTCACACCACACGACATGACGTCACACTACGCGAAATGACGTCACACCACACGACATGACGTCACACTACGCGAAATGACGTCACACCACACGACATGACGTCACACTACGCGAAATGACGTCACACCACGTGTCATGACGTCACACCACGTGTCATGACGTCACACCACACGACATGACGTCACACTACGCGAAATGACGTCACACCACACGACATGACGTCACACTACGCGAAATGACGTCACACCACACGACATGACGTCACACTACGCGAAATGACGTCACACCACCTGAAAATCCCTGAAATACCTGGAAGAAAGCGTGTCTGATAGTGCTGTATATCACGTCCACATTTCCCCCGTGAGTGTTGTGGAATCTGAAGCCGTTGCTGTGAGCCTCCAACGTGCCTATCACACGTCTAGTGGAGAGGTTGGGTCGGCAGTAGAGGTCCTTAAGTCGGGGTACTCCTGAGGGTTGGGGTAAAGGTCACGTGTAGAAAAGTAAGGTCACGTGCAGAAAAGTAAGGTCACGTGTAGAAAAGTAAGGTCACGTGTAGAAAAGTAAGGTCACGTGCAGAAAAGTAAGGTCACGTGCAGAAAAGTAAGGTCACGTGCAGAAAAGTAAGGTCACGTGCAGAAAAGTAAGGTCACGTGCAGAAAAGTAAGGTCACGTGCAGAAAAGTAAGGTCACGTGCAGAAAAGTAAGGTCACGTGCAGAAAAGTAAGGTCACGTGCAGAAAAGTAAGGTCACGTGCAGAAAAGTAAGGTCACGTGCAGAAAAGTAAGGTCACGTGCAGAAAAGTAAGGTCACGTGCAGAAAAGTAAGGTCACGTGCAGAAAAGTAAGGTCACGTGCAGAAAAGTAAGGTCACGTGCAGAAAAGTAAGGTCACGTGCAGAAAAGTAAGGTCACGTGCAGAAAAGTAAGGTCACGTGCAGAAAAGTAAGGTCACGTGCAGAAAAGTAAGGTCACGTGCAGAAAAGTAAGGTCACGTGCAGAAAAGTAAGGTCACGTGCAGAAAAGTAAGGTCACGTGCAGAAAAGTAAGGTCACGTGCAGAAAAGTAAGGTCACGTGCAGAAAAGTAAGGTCACGTGCAGAAAAGTAAGGTCACGTGCAGAAAAGTAAGGTCACGTGCAGAAAAGTAAGGTCACGTGCAGAAAAGTAAGGTCACGTGCAGGAAAGTAAGGTCACGTGCAGAAAAGTAAGGTCACGTGCAGAAAAGTAAGGTCACGTGCAGAAAAGTAAGGTCACGTGCAGAAAAGTAAGGTCACGTGCAGAAAAGTGAATCACACTTCAAGTCATACACACGATGGGTTTCTAGGCTGGCCTCTGCTGAAATATCGCTGGTGCTTTTTTCAAAAGACTAAACAGGGATCCTCACGCATAATTCTTAACTAAATAGGTCGGAAATCTTGATTTTGCAATACGTAAAATGTAAACACATGGCAATAACCTTTACTTAACCAACAATGTCAAATAGTCTATAATATACAATAAGCGCGCTCAGCAGTCAGTGAGTCAGCATGCACGTGTGCAATTATTGCGACAATACGCGCGCTCAGCAGTCAACATGCAAGTGTGCAATTATCACTGTAGTCAACAGTATATAATACAGGTAAACGACCGTACAATCACCTTTAGTTTGGGTTATCTTGAGAGTTTCCTGTTCAATCACATCTTCCATCTCTTTCTTCTCATTCTCGTACTGTTTAAACTTCTTCTGAACCTCCTTTATGATCCGGAACGCGTTGTTCAGGTGCATCGCTGGTACCTGTTAGCGACAAAGAGATATTTAGAAAACTAGTCCAATACTATAAAGAAAGGTGTGTTTGTATTTATTTTATTTTTAACTGAAAAAGAAAAAACAAAATTGGGAGATAAGTAGTGGCGCCATGAAGTAAGGTGGCGTACAAATTATATATTATTATATTCTTATAAATTGTTATTATATATATATATAATAACCTATTGAAATAACGAAATGTAATGGTTATTATAGAAACTAACTAAAGTAAAGCTAAAGTAACTAAAGTAACTAAAGTAACTAAGTAACTAAAGTAACTAAAGTAACTAAAGTAACTAAAGTAACTAAAGTAACTAAAGTAACTAAAGTAACTAAAGTAACTTATTATAGTAACAGTAACTTAATGGTATTTATAGTGACTGGTTACCTCCCCCGCGAGAGTTTTCCTCATGTTGGATCTGAATGTAATCTCCTTCATGAAGGTGGCCTCAGGGTTGGAGTAATGTTCGTCTTTAGCTACTTGTGTTCCTGCCGGACAGATCATTTATTAATATTGTGTTAATTAATTAACTAAATAAAAAACAAAAATAAACAAAGCAGAAGTGATATGACGTCAGATCACTTTGACTTTATTTTAAGATGATAATTATAATGACAACTAAAATAATTTTACGCGTTCAGATTTTTAAATGTAATAAATATGACGTATATTGCTTTATAAAGATATTTCACGTGTTAATCTCTAAAACCAGCCAAATGGTTGGACAACGTACCTGGAACATTAAGGTTCGTTCTCAAGTAGACATAATCTCCTTCTTCACTTTTACTGACGTTCTTGATGGTGGAGATGTGAAATGGAGTTGGGATACCTGAGCAGGGATTTTAATCAAACACAAGGATCTGTTTTAAAGAGCAAAGTTACATAATCTAAGTTGAAGACAAGGACATGTTTTAAAGATGACGCAGCCATTTTCGAATCACGAAAATTATCTGTAAAATTTCACCGTTCTTCTCATTGTTCAGAAATTTATAGCGATGACCAAATACGGGTATACACTATACATTATACAATAACATTGTCACACATTATGCGACATGCGCTAATCACTAACCAAATATGGGTATAATTACATGTACACACATTATGCGCTAATCACGAACCAAATATGGGTATAATGACGCTCTCGTGTTTCTTGTCCACCATTATCTTGAGATTTCTGATATCTGGGTCGTTACTTGGGAAACTCTGAAGATTCTTAAACGCGACTGAGGTCTGCACTTTCCTGTTAAAAATAAAGAGTTAAAACGTAGATTCTGGATATTCTCGAAGGTTCACAGTTGTTAAAGATTATATATTCCTGTTGTAAAGGAAGTACTACTGTAAAGTTGAGTTCTGTTGTCTACTAACATTTACCCCTAACTTGAGTAATATTACAAAACGTAATGAGACTAAGTGTGGCACTGTGGCAGTACTGTGGTACTGTGACAGTACTGTGGTACTGTTACAGTACTGTGGTACTGTGACAGTACTGTGGTACTGTGGTACTGTGGCAGTACTGTGGTACTGTGACAGTACTGTGGTACTGTGGCAGTACTGTGGTACTGTGACAGTACTGTGACAGTACTGTGGTACTGTGGCAGTACTGTGGTACTGTGGCAGTACTGTGGTACTGTGACAGTACTGTGGTACTGTGACAGTACTGTGGTACTGTGACAGTACTGTGACAGTACTGTGGTACTGTGGCAGTACTGTGGTACTGTGACAGTACTGTGACAGTACTGTGGTACTGTGACAGTACTGTGGTACTGTGACAGTACTGTGACAGTACTGTGACAGTACTGTGACAGTACTGTGGTACTGTGGCAGTACTGTGGTACTGTTTAGTACTGCATTGTATTGTCAACACTACTATAACATACAATGTAACATTCTGTGTAGAAGGTAACGACTTCCTACAGGCTTCATACAGATGAAGCCGTGGAAAAAAGGTCAAGATTGTAAAAAATTAAGAAACAACCACATCCGAATTTCCTAGCTCACTTTTTTTCAGTGTAGCCGTTCTTTTTAGCAGATAATCTATCTCTAGCCTCTTGATTCAGCTTCTCTACTAGTTTTCTCTGATGCTCCTTTCTTTTATCGTCACTTAGCGGTTCCTGTAATAGGATAATAGGTTAATTAGATAATAGGTTAATAGGTTTCGAACCAATAAATGCTGAATAGTTGTGAGTTGAAGCTACATTTCAAATCAGGATGTCACATATTATCACAGAATTACATATCTAATTCCATCTTGATCCGATGTATATAAGTATCAACTTAATAACACCAGAATGTGTGTGTGTCTGTGTGTTTGAAATTTCCGAACGGTTATACAAAAAAAACAGTAAGAGAGTAAGAGTTACGGGACTGGTTTTTTCGGTATAGTGCCGACAAAACTCTGACGGAGCCAATAAGCAAATTTTATAAAAATCGGCCGGTGGTAAGTGGCTTAATTGATGGTTTTGTACTATTAATGCAACATTATGGAGTGAGCCACTAAAATGGCTCACTTTTTCTTCCTATTCGCTCTCTTTGTAGCGTTGGTAATTAGGTTAGCTCCTCAAGTGATATTAGGAGTGTACTTGGGCACTGATTGTGGTCTGTTTAAACTGTAGAGAGAGTTCATACTTTCATACGACAATGTTTATGCATATAATACTATAAGTTTATTAGGGGGGGGGAGGCACTCATTGCGGTCGGTTTGTTTACTTTCATACGACAATGTAATGCATGTTTTCAAATATAAGGAGGGTGTGGTGCGGAGTTATTAAGGGTTAATTTCTAAAACGATTTAAAGCGGTTTAAGACGGGAGTGATGAGGTGTAATAGTCGTGGTACATATACTATTGGATACGTGAGGGAACTCCGAATAGAATTGTTCACCTAATGCGGGTTTTGACTCAGCGGGTAATTACTCCTACCCTTTTTAACTGCGGCAGTGAAATCCCGGCCGTAGGCCGGGTTACACTAGTATGCTATATAAAGCTATATATAGGATATTCTTTACACGCAATGTTCCAAACGGCGGGAGTTGTTGTAATACAGCACCTTGGAGAATGTTCTCAACTCCATTATTGTAAAGCTCGCATTACACGATGAGGTCAGGAGCCTTGTGTTTTATTTGTAGTGCAGGTTGTTATAGAGGTCTCTCTGAAGTTTTGTTTTTGTTCGTTTTACTTAATTATTCAATTAGCTCATTACAGTACTGTAATTAGCTAGTAACTACTGAAACTAATTACAGTACTGTAATGCAGCTAGTAACTACTGAAGCTAATTACAGTACTGTAATGCAGCTAGTAACTACTGAAACTAACTACAGTACTGTAATGCAGCTATTAACTACTGAAACTAACTACAGTACTGTAATGCAGCTAGTAACTACTGAAGCTAATTACAGTACTGTAATGCAGCTAGTAACTACTGAAGCTAACTACAGTACTGTAATGCAGCTATTAACTACTGAAACTAACTACAGTACTGTAATGCAGCTATTAACTACTGAAACTAACTACAGTACTGTAATGCAGCTAGTAACTACTGAAGCTAATTACAGTACTGTAATGCAGCTAGTAACTACTGAAACTAACTACAGTACTGTAATGCAGCTAGTAACTACTGAAGCTAACTACAGTACTGTAATGCAGCTATTAACTACTGAAACTAACTACAGTACTGTAATGCAGCTAGTAACTACAATGCAGCTAGTAACTACTGAAACTAATTACAGTACTGTAATGCAGCTAGTAACTACTAAAAACTAATTACAGTACTGTAATTAGCTAGTAACTACTGAAGCTAATTACAGTACTGTAATGCAGCTAGTAACTACTGAAACTAATTACAATACTGTAATGCAGCTAGTAACTACTAAAAACTAATTACAGTACTGTAATTAGCTAGTAACTACTGAAGCTAATTACAGTACTGTAATGCAGCTAGTAACTACTGAAGCTAACTACAGTACTGTAATGCAGCTAGTAACTACAATGCAGCTAGTAACTACTGAAACTAATTACAGTACTGTAATGCAGCTAGTAACTACTAAAAACTAATTACAGTACTGTAATTAGCTAGTAACTACTGAAGCTAATTACAGTACTGTAATGCAGCTAGTAACTACTGAAGCTAATTACAGTACTGTAATGCAGCTAGTAACTACTGAAGCTAATTACAGTACTGTAATGCAGCTAGTAACTACTGAAACTAATTACAATACTGTAATGCAGCTAGTAACTACTGAAGCTAATTACAGTACTGTAATGCAGCTAGTAACTACTGAAGCTAACTACAGTACTGTAATGCAGCTAGTAACTACTGAAGCTAACTACAGTACTGTAATGCAGCTAGTAACTACTGAAGCTAATTACAGTACTGTAATGCAGCTAGTAACTACAATGCAGCTAGTAACTACTGAAGCTAATTACAGTACTGTAATGCAGCTAGTAACTACTGAAGCTAATTACAGTACTGTAATGCAGCTAGTAACTACTGAAGCTAACTACAGTACTGTTATGCAGCTAGTAACTACTGAAGCTAACTACAGTACTGTTATGCAGCTATTAACTACTGAAGCTAATTACAGTACTGTAATGCAGCTAGTAACTACTGAAGCTAACTACAGTACTGTAATGCAGCTAGTAACTACTGAAGCTAACTACAGTACTGTTATGCAGCTAGTAACTACTGAAGCTAACTACAGTACTGTTATGCAGCTATTAACTACTGAAGCTAATTACAGTACTGTAATGCAGCTAGTAACTACTGAAACTAATTACAGTACTGTAATGCAGCTAGTAACTACTGAAGCTAGTTACGGTACTGTAATGCAGCTAGTAACTACTGAAGCTAACTACAGTACTGTAATGCAGCTATTAACTACTGAAGCTAACTACAGTACTGTAATGCAGCTAGTAACTACTGAAACTAGTTGCTAAATTACAGTACTGTAATGCAGCTAGTAACTATAGGTTACTATAAGTTACTATATATAACAAATCTCAAGTCGTACTTGAGTCTAGAATCTGTCAGTTTCCCTGTATTTTACACCAATTGGCCAGCTTGCTTGATCATTGAAGAACATTTTCCACATTTTCTCCGTACTTTTTAGAAAAAAAGTTTTAAAGTCCAAACTTAAGCAAACGATTTAAGGGAAGTGGGGTATCTTACTAACAGGGTATACTGTATTTTGCCTAATTAAATTTATCGAATATTGTAAAGGGATCTTTTTGCACAAAAATTCACTTTCGCGAAAATCGCGTACTGAGATATGGGCAGTTTTCTTCATTTTTAGTGGTCTTTTGGCCTTTATTTCTATAAATATTAAGCTATATATCTCAGAGATTGTATAGTTAAGGCTTACCTTTTATATAAAGTTGGCTTCATTCAAAAATATTAATATTTGGCCAATTTATGCGCCAAAATCTATCAAATTTGGTTTGTATGCCCAAATATGGGCATATGGTTTGTGGCTCATTACTCAGGAATTGTTTGTCCAATCTGGATGAAAATCCATACAAGAGTTCAGGGGACTACTAGCTACAGAGTATAGGCAGAACACCTAAAATCTGGGTTTTGGACATGTTAAGGTGATTTGGCCTAATTGGGCCTATTTGGACACAAATATGGGTTGTGGCTGCACTGCTGGCACTGGTGGACGGTTGGGACCCCCTTAAAAGTTTGGTCCTAGTTTGTTGGTTGATTCTATGTCAGAATCAAGTTTCACAAAAATTTCAAATCCCCAACATCATTACAGGAAATGGATTGTCAGTCAGGGCTACGCAAAAGAATCGAGGAAATCATCGGCAAGAAAATTTTGGAAAACTATTGCAAAAATGGAGACGGAACTTCAGGTCCTACAATGATGCCACCAATTCCCACATCAACTTTCATCGACAAGCTACCTAAAGGTGTGTTAGATGGTGTAAATGTTGTAGAGAAAGAACACCAGGACTCATATGCGGCAGAGGTGATACTGTTCCGCTGTTTCGAGGAGGTCAAGGATAATTGTGTAGTTATTCATCAGCTAGAATATACACACGAGCAGTATGCTGCTTTTCTTCCAAACCATAAGTGTAACAAGGAGAGTTGTAAGAAAGGACCAGATGATCACCCATGTCACAAGCAGCCAAAGGAAATAGAGGGGGAGTGCGATTTTATCGTCATAGGAGATAACTTTGTAGCAGTGTTTGAGGTTAAAGGTTTATCTCTTCAAGGTGACGGTACGGTAGATGAAGTCAAGTTGAAGGGTTGTTGTCATAGTGCACGGACACAAAGGAAAAGGATGGTCGATCTTATCAAGAGCATCAACCCTTCGGTTACCACATATGACTTCACGGTGTTCCCTAACCTTCCTGTGGAACAAGTGAACGAGTGTTATTAGTGGATGACACCATAATGTTTAGCGATGAACTAGAGAAGTTGATTGTCGATAGCTGCAAATCATTCTCATCGCAAGCAAGCTCTGACGATAAAAGTGCGATGGACAAGTTGTGTTGCTGTCTTCTCGGACTTTGGTGTATCCAGAAAGATAGCACCTATGAATTGGCTGACGGTAGCCTGGCAAAATGTATAACCGATATAGACAGGAAACTGAGAGGAGCACTAGTCACGCGCAGAGCTGTGGATGAAGAGAATTCGAAGAATAAGGGAAAGAATTCGAAGAAAAAGGGAAAAGCAAAGAAGTATCCCGAAAACTTAGAAATGGTTCCAGCTCCAGATATCTTTAAAAGACATCTCGAAATAAGCTGCCTTACAAAAGATCAGCTTGATGTTTTTAACAGTGAGGAGCAACTCCTGTGGGTGGAAGGTCCCGCGGGAAGCGGTAAAACTATTGCAATGCTGGGTAAGATTATCCATCTTGCCCTCACAACATCAGACAAGAGGATTCTTTTAATATCACCAACAGATGAGAAATATCCAGCATCAAAACGATACCTGGAAGTACTCAGTAATATCAGTAATATCAGGCAGGACGTAACATGCAAGAGCATAACATACGATTACGAAGGTGATATTAGCGACCAGTTACAGAAAGCAAGCACATTATTATCTCAACAACTTGCTGGTATCACCAGTAAAATAGTGTTACTAAATATTAAGAGAAGCTTAACGCATAATGTATACAGTCTCATCAATCAATTTGATTATATTTTCTGTGATGATGTTCAGCGCCTTTTTCAAAAAACAATATACAATTCGAGAGCACAGCAAAAACCTCGCTATGATAAAACTATCATATCTGAGGGTTTACTTCCGATTGTTAAGAACAGTTCTACAAATAAAACCAGCATGTGGATTTTATTTGATGCAGCACAACTACCATATGAGTGGCGCTTTTTGGATAGAAGCTTAACTCTTGATTCTTTCAACGAATTAAAGAGTTTCTTCGTTGGCAATAAATATAAAGAATTAACAGTCAACCTAAGAAATACATTCGAAATTTCATTCTTGTTATCCATCATACGCAAACATTGTGAAAGAATGTACTCTTTTGGAACTTTGCCAGTGAAATGGCCGGAACAAGAAGAAGGACATGTTCTCCGAGGAACAAAAGCAGTCATCTACCTACTAAGTGATGATAAATGGGAAGATGTTCTGAAAGAGGAACTAGAAGTATTAAAGGGACCCGACAGTTCTCTTGAAAACAAGGATATTGCAGTTTTATACCGTGATACAACTACAATTAAACGTGCAAATTTACGTACTACTATTCGCAGTGTACTTAAGAAATGGGATGCTCTAGATGACAAGATAACAGTGCACAATGCAGTGGCATGTGTGTCAGCAGAGTGGCCAGCTGTTATCAGTATTAACAGACACAGATCATACACATTTACACTACCTGATAACAAGGAGAAGATAACGTACAGTTACACGCTTGGGTGCCTTTATAGAGCAATCTCAAGAGCCAGAGTCTACTCAACAGCGATCGTTTTTAACTACAAACCAAACATTTGTGAATATACAGATAAACTTCTTGATGAACTGCGAGAGCGTCGTGACGTGTGTAGGATAGTTGAATATTAGTGGAAGTAGGTAACTAGTCAATAACATTATATTCAGTATCACGTACAACATGTAACACAGTATGTTGGTATGCCTCCGGGATTATAATTATATTTTACATATTAACAGTGATTTATCATTATGAATTCTGCACATCACAGAGAATTTGAAACCTTTGTATAAGGTTATGTTTCTTTTGTTTATTCATAAATCGATTTAAAATTTGCTTATGACGAAAAGCAAGATCTTTTAACATTGTTTTGTATATAAATTTAGCTTCTTAATAAAAAATGTATGATTTCATTTAAAAGAATTTACTTTTTGTTTAATCAAATTTGCGCTTTCCTTAATTTCACAAGACACACCAAATCATGACGTGACACACCAAATCATGACGTGACACACCAAATCATGACGTGACACACCAAATCATGACGTGACACACCAAATCATGACGTGACACACCAAATCATGACGTGACACAACAAATCATGACGTGACACAACAAATCATGACGTGACACAACGAATCATGACGTCACACAACAAATCATGATTTCAGAAACCAAATCATGACGTCACACAACAAATCATGACGTCACACAACAAATCATGACGTCACACAACAAATCATGACGTCACACAACAAACCATGACGTCACACATGCTACTCACATGGCGGAGCTTATTGTCAATTACAGCTGTTCTCCTGCTCTGCCGAGTGATGTTCTCCATTATGTTCTCCTCCTCTTCCTCCTCTTCTGCGTCACCCTCTCCCTGCACGTAATTAGAGTAATTAGTTAGGTGATTAATTATGTGATTAATTGTGTGATTAATTAGGTGATTAATTAGGTGATTGATTGTGTGATTAATTATGTGATTAATTATATTTATTAATCATGTGATTAATTGTGTGGTTGATTATTTGATTATTTATAAGATTAATCATTGGTTAATTATGTATTTAAAGGAAGAATAGATGTGAATTTTAATCATCACTTATATAAAGAAATCTATTGCGCATTAATCACCAGTAACCACCTATTACTAATCAACTAATTACTAATTAACTAATTGCTGTAGTGACACACACCTTCAGAAAGATGCTGACGCTTCTAATCTTCTTTTTTGAAGGAGTGAGAACAGAGGCTCCCGTATCCCCTATAACCACTGTGTCCCCCAACATTAGTGCGTATTCTTTCTCGTCCTCCTTTAGACCAACAACACCTGATCATTAGTTATTAATTAATGAGCAATTAGTCGTAATTAGCATTAATTAATTGAAATAGTTTATACCAGAGCCTCGTTCCCAAAAACAACTCGTCGTCTTGGGATCGGGGCTGGTGTAAGAATATACACATTTTAACAATGTGAAATATTACAGTCACCGTTTATAAGTGTCTAGTGTCTACTTTAACTTAGAAATAGTATTTGCAGCTTAAGGTTAAAAACAACATACCTATAGCATACCCCCTATAACATACCAATAACATACCAATAACATACCTATAACATACCTATAACATACCAATAACATACCAATAACATACCAATGACATACCTAAAACATACCACTAACATACCAATAACATACCTATAACATACCAATAACATACCTATAACATACCTATTTGAATGATAAAGACCATGTTCTTCTTCAGCACGTTATCGTTTTTAGGTCCTATCAGTAAGCTAGGTTCCCGGAATTCAATCCCCGTACCTGATTGGATAATAATAATAATTCAATCGTCGTTTCTTATTGGTTATATTAACAAATGATATTGATGAATAAAATTAATGGTAATAACTTTTTGAGACCGTTAAAGTATGTTTACTTTTGGAACGAGGGGGGCTCATGGTAACGGGGGGGGGGGGGGGGGGGGGGGGGGGGGGGGGGGGGGGGGGGGGGGGGGGCACATGGTAACGTTACGCCACTGCCGGGATAAATACCACTCATGACAGTGTAACAGAGCTTATAATTAATTATAAACCAATCAACTAATTACCGAATCCGATGTTTTTGGGAAAGTTGTTGAGCCACATATGACAGTGTAACAGAGCTTATAATTAATTATAAACCAATCAACTAATTACCGAATCCGATGTTTTTGGGAAAGTTGTTGAGCCACACATGACAGTGTAACAGAGCTTATAATTAATTATAAACCAATCAACTAATTACCGAATCCGATGTTTTTGGGAAAGTTGTTGAGCCACATATGACAGTGTAACAGAGCTTATAATTAATTATAAACCAATCAACTAATTACCGAATCCGATGTTTTTGGGAAAGTTGTTGAGCCACACATGACAGTGTAACAGAGCTTATAATTAATTATAAAACAATCAACTAATTACCGAATCCGATGTTTTTGGGAAAGTTGTTGAGCCACATATGACAGTGTAACAGAGCTTATAATTAATTATAAACCAATCAACTAATTACCGAATCCGATGTTTTTGGGAAAGTTGTTGAGCCACATATGACAGTGTAACAGAGCTTATAATTAATTATAAAACAATCAACTAATTACCGAATCCGATGTTTTTGGGAAAGTTGTTGAGCCACACATGACAGTGTAACAGAGCTTATAATTAATTATAAACCAATCAACTAATTACCGAATCCGATGTTTTTGGGAAAGTTGTTGAGCCACTCCGGCCGTTTCTCCTTGACAAACTCCACACACTTGTTGAACACAGTGGACAGCTTGGTGTTCTCCGTCATTATTGAGTAGACCTTCTCCACTATTTCCAGTAGTAGCTCGTAGTTCTTCTGCTGCTTCTGCGGTTGATGGAGTGTGTTATGAGATTTATGTTTTATAAAGGTTAGGGGGGGGGGGGGGGGTCACAAAAGTCAGCTTACATATGTTTGCATTTTTTTGATTACATGCGTTTAAGTTTGTTTAACCGTTGTTTCACTTTGTGTATATTATTATAATATATTATTTTAGATTATATTCTGTTGTTTTACCTCTGCAGGCTCCACTAGTGTATATCATTATACTATAATATTTTAGATTATATTCTGTTGTTTTACCTCTGCAGGCTCCACTAACTTGTATATCATTATACTATAATATTTTAGATTATATTCTGTTGTTTTACCTCTGCAGGCTCCACTAGAACAGTCCTGCTGATGTTGGAGCAGTAACTTTTGTAGCGAGTACCGAATAACACTGGCAGAGTAAGAAACTGTTAGAAATTCGTGAAACGTGGTGTGACGTCATGACACGTGGTGTGACGTCATGACACGTGGTGTGACGTCATGACACGTGGTGTGACGTCATGACATGTGGTGTGACGTCATGACACGTGGTGTGACGTCATGATATGTGGTGTGAGTACCGAATAACACTGGCAGACTCAGCAGAGTAAGAAACTGTTAGAAATACGTAGCTTAATGATATTGATTTCAAATACAGTTATTGAAAATAAATATAGCGTATGTTGAAAATTCCCTAAATATGGTCTTTGCACAATAAATAAAGCAGTGAAAGGTGAGACGACACCCCGTACCCATATAAACAATAAACATAATACAGTAAAACCCGGATTTCCAAGAGGAAGGAAGTGTCCACGATAAACCGTGGCGCAATTAATTATAGTCGGGGCGCGGGGATCTGTTACCTGTAACACTGCTCCTGTTAGCGTAGTCTATCTTCTCCTCATCGCTACTGGCCGAGAACTTCAGAGAGAACTTTCTGGACTGTATGATAGGCGTGTACGCTACTTCAACCTGAGATTTAGAGTGGCGTCATGACACGTGATGTGACGTCATGACACGTGATGTGACGTCATGACACGTGATGTGACGTCATGATACGTGATGTGAAGTCAGAGACTGTGTAATGCCATGTTTGTCTGAATTTCAGCATACACTTCTTTTAAACAATAAATACAGACGATGCAACAAAAGCTCTTCCCGGTAGGATAAATATCACAAATTTAAAAGAATTCAAAAAATGTGTTCAATCCTTAATTTGTATCAAATGCCTCGGAGCCATTTATTGTTTTACCAGATCGGCTGAGTGAGGATAGAACCACAAGCACTCATAAGAATGTGGCCCGGCACTCATGTAATAACGTCCGGTATCACACTCTCATTGGTGTGGCACACTCTCATTGGTGTGGCACACTCTCATTGGTGTGGCACACTCTCATTGGTGTGGCACACTCTCATTGGAGTGGCACACTCTCATTGGAGTGACACACTCTCATTGGTGTGGCACACTCTCATTGGTGTGGCACACTCTCATTGGAGTGACACACTCTCATTGGTGTGGCACACTCTCATTGGAGTGGCACACTCTCATTGGAGTGGCACACTCTCATTGGAGTGGCACACTCTCATTGGAGTGGCACACTCTCATTGGAGTGGCACACTCTCATTGGAGTGGCACACTCTCATTGGAGTGGCACACTCTCATTGGAGTGGCACACTCTCATTGGAGTGGCACACTCTCATTGGAGTGGCACACTCTCATTGGAGTGGCACACTTCATTATCACTTAAAGACTTACGCTATCTTTATCCATGCCAGGTAGCAGACACTTTTTTCCCTCAGCCACAAGGTTTTCAATGTTATTAGACATCTTCACATGCTTTACCTTCTTTTCCTCGTCAACTGGGGGATAAATTAATTAATTAATTAATTGATTAATTATTTAGTTATTTAATTATTTAATTAAATAATTGATTAATTAATTAATTAATTAATCAGGTTAGAATTTAAGTGGCGAATTTATATTATCGTGACTCACTATTTTTTTAATTAGAACAAGTGGCGCACTATTGAGTTAACAAGTGAACCATAATATTAAGTCCTAAAGAACAGACTAGACTTCAAATCTTTAGCGAAGGTTCTCTCTATAAATAACTTAATAACATTAAAGCGTTGCATCGTTCAGATCAGATGCAGGATGGTTGATCAAGGTAATCAAATCAAATTATCTTTGTACAAATTGTGATTGTAAATTAAATAAGATGATTTAATGGTAATGTATTTTTAAAAAGCAGTAATAAAAATCAGTAACCACAAGCACTCCTCCGCAATAATTACCTATATTCATAAGCTCGTTGCGGAGATATTTACTGAAAATGTCGGACGTATATTGAGCAACTTTATTGAGATGACTCAGTTCCTGCTCGTCTTTAACAGCGAGACACAGCGCTATGTGGGCTGTAGCGTCTACCTGATGGAGTAGACTGTGATACAACAACAAATTATTATACACCACACCACACCACACCACACCACACCACACCACACCACACCACACCGCACCACACCACACCACACCACACCACACCACACCACACCACACCACACCACACCACACCACACCACATACCTGATCTATTTCCAATTCTTTGAGCTTAGCGTTCCACTGTTTAGCAAGTTCCCCCTTAAAATGGTCCTTTGGGAAGTGGCCCACTGATTTCAGAGCCTTCACTTTCTCTATCACTGTCTTCATGTGATCGGCTCCGGAGTCACCCTGTAAATGATACTTAATTATGGTACGTCACACCACGTGTCATGACGTAACACATACGTCACACATGTCTATGACGTCACACACTTATAGCAATCAATTGCGTAAACGTAATCAATGAATAACTTACAGTTGAATAAACAAATTCCCAGAAATTTGACAATAAATAATCAGCAGAAGTATTTTAAGAAAAACACACAAATCTTCATATAAACCAGAAATATAAGAAAAACACACACCTTCATTCTGGTGAGGAGGGTCATCTTGGGCATATTCTCCTTCTTAGCCAGCATATCTCGCAGGGGCCTCAGGAAATCTGTTTTCTTCTTGCTAGAAATTACGAATATATCCTCCATGGAGAATAACATGATGGTATCTCGTAGCTCGTATCCTAGCAACCATATCATCAGACTTATACCTGAGAGGTGTGTTACCTGGATACATTGTACACTATACACTGTACACTGTGTACTGCACACTATACACTGTACATTGTACACTATATAATATGGTGTACTGTACAATAAAAACTGTGCTTTGTACACTATACACTGTACACTGTGTACTGTACACTATACACTGTGTACTGTACATTGTACATTGTACACTATACATTGTGTACTGTACACTATAGACTGTGTACTGTACATTGTACACTATACACTGTACACTATACACTGTACACTGTACACTGTGTACTGTACACTATACATTGTACACTGTACAGTGTATAGTGTGTATACAGTGTAGTGTGTATACAGTGTATACAGTGTATACAGTGTAAACTATAGTATACACTCAACACTGTTACAGTGCAGGGTACACAGAAAAATCAGATGTGGACCCTAATTCCTTTGAAGCTTCATCATGCTGGAAGTGTTTGATTGGCCAATAACCCCGGTCTGACGGGGGCGGGGGGGGGGGGGTAGTACCCCCAGTCTTAGTGTAGTAGTGACGACTAACCTTTACTGTAAGTCACGTCATCGTCGTTTGTCACGGCTATAGACAAGGAATCCATATGCGCTAAGTTATCCTGGTGATTGTAATGTTATTGGCTACTCAACAACAAAACTTATGTTGAAATTAAAGAAACATGGATTATTTAATTTAATGCCCCATAAATTATAAGTTAAGTTGCATTAAAATAATATAAAGTGATAAGTAAAGTCTTACCTTCCAGTACGTGTAGAGACGCTCAATACGCCGGCCAAATGCCGCTTTATCAGCCAACGCCATCCTACTGTCATATTATTTAGGTTATATCCTACTGTCATATCATTAAGGTTATACTGTGTTTCTAGTCTAGAAACACAGTTTTTTTAGAGATTTTACCGGCGTATTTTCTAAAATCACCTAATTTGTCCAATTTTACGTTTATACTTTAAGAGGGGGGGGGGGGGGGGGGGGGCAACAGGGGACACCAACATGCAACGTTACGCCACTGGTTATATCCTTAGGGAAGGGGCCATTTATTCATTAAGCCAAATTTCGGCCATTTTTAACACCCTTAATAGTTACTAGCGTAAGTCTTCCAAGTTTCTGATCCCTTATTCCCCAAACCACACATGTAAAATTTAAAAAATTAGTATAGTTAATAAGAATTGGAGATATTTTAGACAATCGACTGATATTTCTTCTCCATAAACATACTCTATATATGTTTTAGTGGTTTTTGGAGACATCTTGTAATGGCTGTCCTCCACAGACAAAGTTAAAACCCATATTGTAACGCAATGGTTCGTTCAGGGTTTAATTTATTAGAGCAATAAATAAACGCGCCAAAAACTTTGAATTAGACTTTCAGCGCAATTGAAGCACCGCGCGCTACAAATATCAAACAAAAAATTGGCGGGAGCCGAGAGTGGACCTGTTTTTTGGCACACTTCTTGTAAAAGTAACTCAAAATAACTCAAATAACAACATCTTAAGAGGGAAATTGTAGGTTTACTCTAAACTCTCACGTAACAGTACAATTGATCTAGCAACATCTCATCAAGTATCATCAGTAAGCAGTAAGGACCATAATGCACGAAAATGATTATCAATGTGCATTGTGCACGAGTGAGTACTGAGTATTGTTGCTAAAATGTTACAGTATTTGTTATAAACATCGCGCAATAACAAAACTAAGATAAATAATTTTAGAGCAGAGACAAGTATTGTGATAACAGTGAAGACTTCAATGTCTCTACAATATACAAAAGCTGGAAAACCCAATTTCTGTCGGCATTATATCATATTTGAAAACAGAAATAATGTATTTATAAAAATAAATAAATATACCACTTCAGTCGTCAAAATGTGGAGTCCTGAACTTAAAATGAATTCCACTAATTACGAAATTCAGAGAGCTGAAGACGATTTAAACATGTACTTTGAAAGCTCCTGCTAAAAACAAACTTTTCGTATCACTTATATGTTTTAAATAACCCCCTCCACGAATTTATAAAGCATTCAAAAACACCTCAATTAAAGAAATTAATTAACGTAGGGGGCACATACCAATATTGACACACAAAATCCGTGCTAAGATCTATTTTAATCAGATGATACAAATTGATAGTGATAATTTATGTATTATCTATATATAGATATAGTGGGTATGCATTAATCTAGAAAAATGTCAACATATTTCTATACGGTATTTAATTTAAAAAATAAAATAAAAAAATGTAAGAATTGGACATATCCCCTAAACAGATATTTTACAATATTTTGAACTGAATGAAAAGATAAAGTAGAATGTAACACTGTAAGAACCTACCTACCATGAGGAAATTACATTTAATGTAAAATATATTCCCTCTTTAAGCCACCTTAAAATTAAATACTTATGGGTATTCTTTTAAAGTTGGACAAAATTAAATGACAAACCTTCTCGAGTTGGCGCTCGGTTGCCAAATTGTGTGCTTCAAACTGGAACCATCAATACACCGGTCACCATGGGAGAACCTGAAAATTGACATTTCAGTGTTGTACAAAAACGGGGGTGTAAAATCCGGATTGGAATATTATTTATGAGTCGCATAGTTGAAATGTTTTCTTGGGTAAATAGATTGGATATCAGTCTATGTGTAAAGTCTATGACAGTATCTTTGTTCTTAGATGTTTCAATTGTCAGGGATGTGGGCATTACAGCGAAGAATTCGGCAGTTCTTCTCTTTGACTTCATGGCAGACAACTTCCTCAGTCAGTATATTCTGGAACCTACTAGGCTGAACAACTGCCTTGATCTTTTTCTCTCCAATGCTCCTAATCTTGTGACACACGTTTCGGTGACTGATACACCTTTGTCTGACCACAAGCTTCTTGAGATCTTTCTGTCACATAATCCATGTCGGTCAGATCCTTCCGTACCCCCAGATTTCAGTGTTCCTTCGTTTCGGTCACTGGACTTCTACAAAGCAGATTATGACAAAATCAATCATCTCCTTGATTCTGTTAACTGGAGTGAACTATGGGAACTTTGTGATCCTGAAGAATTTCCTGAACTGTTGAACCTTGTCCTTCTTCAGATATGTGAGATGGGGTGCCCAAGGAAAAAGGCATCTAGCAAAAGGCGAGGTTCACATTGTCTCGCAAGAAACGCAAATTAAAACTTCGGTTGCATTTGGCTGAACAAAATCCAGTCGCTACAACAGCTCACTTGGAGTCACTTAGAAACCAGATTTCGAGTGTGTACGCTGACATGCGAGACGCTATAAACCACGACCTTAACTACCGTGAACAACAGGCGGTAGATAAAGTGCACAGCAATCCAAAATATTTCTACAGCTATGCTAAAAAGTTCTCTAAGCAGAAACGCAGTATTCCAATGCTTTTCAATGAAGCCAAGAGAACTTGCACCAATCCTGAAGAGATTGCTAACATCCTCCAGCGTCAATTCAGCAGTGTATTCAGTGACCCTTCAGCCACCAACATCAATGATGCATTATTTCAGTCACCTTCTCTACAGAAGCCATTCATTGATGACATGTTGGCATTCTCGGTTGCTGATATAATGGAGGCTATTGATGAAATTAAGCCGGGTGCCGCTGCTGGGCCTGATGATCTTCCAGTCCTGCTTCTGAAGAAGTGCAAAGAAGCACTCTCCAAACCTATACACATGATTTGGCAGCATTCTATGTCTACAGGCACAGTGCCGAAGTTCTACAAGACATCAAACATTGCTCCACTTCACAAGAAAGGCAGTCGTGCTATTGCGGGAAACTACAGACCTGTGTCGTTAACTTCTCATGTCATTAAGATCTATGAGCGAGTTCTACAAAAACAGATGGTGGCCCACCTCGAAGAAAACAACCTTCTCAATAGCAAACAGCATGGCTTCCGATCGGGGAAAAGTTGTCTCACTCAGCTGCTTCATCATTTTGATGACATCATCGAGGCGTTATCAAATGGTGACGACATGGACGCTAGATATACTTGGATTATGCCAAGGCCTTTGATAAAGTAGATCATCAACTTCTTATCAAAAAACTGCAGCTATATGGTTTTCATCCCAAAATCATCATCTGGATCGAGTCATTTCTTACAAATAGAACTCAACAAGTTGTTGTAGATGGTCACATGTCTATCATTGCTCTTATTATGAGTGGTGTCCCCCAAGGAACAGTTTTAGGTCCCATACTGTTTTTAATATTCATTAATGACATTGCTAGCTGCGTGTTGCATTCAACGTTAAGATGTTTCGCTGACGACACAAGAATTTGCAGATCCATCAGTGATTCACATAATGTTACTGAGCTTCAGTCTGATCTTGACAAAGTCACTGAGTGGTCATCAAGAAACAACATGGCACTACATGAGGATAAGTTTGAGTACATATGCCATCTTGCCAACAAACGTAATCCTCTCTATGAGCTTCCTTTTGTCCATGAACAGTTCCAATACAGAACATCAACTGGTACTATACTCAGTCCTGTGGATCAGCTCCGTGATCTCGGTATAACAGTATCCAGTGATACGTCCTGGACATCACACATACGATCTAGTTGTGATAAAGCGAGGAAGATGGCAGCATGGGTATTCAGTGTCTTCCACTCTCGCAATACTGGTGTTATGTTAACACTATACAAGTCACTAGTCCGTAGCCACTTAGAGTATTGCTCTCCTCTGTGGAATCCGGCGAAAGTGTATGAAATTCAGGAGCTTGAAAGTGTACAAAGAACTTTCACTTCAAAGATCCATGGTTTACAGCATCTCCATTATTGGGATCGCCTAAAAACCCTGTCCCTCATGTCACTTCAGAGGCGCAGAGAACGTTACATTGTCATGCACATGTGGAAAATCCTACATGGTTTCACATCCAACGACCTTGAAGTACAGTTCACAGTAAATCCACGATTGGGTACCCTTGCTAAGGTTCCAGCTGTCCGTACAAAAAGCTCAGCTGCTCACCAGACTCTATATGAAACATCATTTGGTGTAATGGGTCCCAGACTCTGGAACTGTATACCTTCGCACATACGTGCAGTCTCCAAACATGATGGCTTCAAGCATCATATGACGGCATTCATGCTTTCCTTGCCGGATAAACCGCCAATCCGGGGCTTCACATCACCGAACTCCAATTCTATACTGGACTGGCGTAACGATCGAGAGGCATCTTCTCTCTGGGGTGGTCAGCAACTCTGATGGCCTGTCGAGTTTCGACGAAGCAGATCAAAGGTATCAAAGGTAAGGAATGTAAAAATGATCAAGTTTGTGGGTTTTGCTCTGAAAATCATGAATCAAAATCTTGCATAAAAAAGGCTGTTGATCATGTTTCCAAGTGTTGTCACTGTATCAAAGCTAAAAACAATGATACTAATCATCACACTGGAGACCCTAGGTGTGCTGTATTTGTTAAACATCAGAACAGAATTAAAGCTACAATTCCTTTTTATGAAAGCAAATGATTGGGTTTAATGATTCCTCAGGTTTTAACCTCTCTTTAATCCTAGATCAATCAACAACAAGACTGATATCTAAGACTGATATCTACGAAGCCCAGGTGGTCTCCGTCTTAATGTACAATTGTAGCTGCTGGGCTGCTTCAAAGCAGCTATTGAATAAACTGGATATTTGCCACAGAAAGCATCTGAGGCAAATCATCAGAATGACTTACCCTAATATAATCAAAAACGACACCCTTTACAAGAGATGTGAAGTGGTTCCACTCAGTGAGCGTGTTGCATGTGCAAGATGGAGGATGCTCGGACATGTCCTTCGCAGTGATAACAACTCACCTGCACAGCTTGCACTACACTTTGCGGTAGAGGGTT